GCCCAGAGGATGCTCTATCATATCAATACTAAAATATGTAGATGTTTCTATATCTGTAGTGTTCGTCTTAGCCTGTCAATGTGGTACTAGAAACCCTAAAACCCTGGGGTTTCCGTTTCCGGTCCGTTTCCGCTTCCGTTTCCGCTTCCGTTTCCGTTTCCGTTTCCGCTTCCACTTCCGTTTCCGTGACGTATTTCCCGTGACGCTGACCCCTATATCCAACGCGATATTCAACAGGACGTGCCCCAACCGGTATATACGATCCTCTCCATCATATTCTGTTAAACCATAACCCTAACCCTGAAAACCTGGGGTTTCCGTCTCCGCCTCCCGCTTCCGGCGACGTATTTCCCGGACGCAAACCCCGATATCCAACGCGATATTCAACGGGTGTGCCCCAACCGGTATATACGATCCTCTCCATCATATTCTGTTTAACCATAACCCTAAACCCTGAAAAGCTGGGGTTTCCGTTTCCGTTTCCGCTTCCGTTTCCGCTTCCGTTTCCGTGACGTATTTCCCGGACGCAAACCCCTAATCCAACGCGATATTCAACGGGCGTGCCCCAACCGCTATATACGATCCTCTCCGTTTCCGGTTCCGCCTTCGCCTCCGCTTCCGTGACGTATTTCCCGGTCGCAAACCCCTAATCCAACGCGATATTCAACGGGCGTGCCCCAACCGGTATATACGATCCTCTCTATCATATTCTGTTTAACCCTGACCCTATTACCTTCAACCGGCATGTCCAGCGCGTTTGACTTTTAAATGCTTTCATCCCACTGGTTTGGGTCCAACGGGTTAACGCGTTTGTTCAACCGGTTCGACTTCCAATCGTTTCAACGTCGGCTTTGACTTCCAACTGCTTTGATGTTCAACGCCTTCAAACATCCAACGGGTTAATGCGTTCATCCAACCCCCCAGCCTCTACTCTCACTCTTTGTAACCCTAACCCTGACCTATTATTGTATGGGATAATGCTCTTTAAAACTCCAATATTTTTGAACCTGATCTAGCTATATTATATCTCTTTACCCTCTTTCTTTTTGCTCCTTTTCCTCTTGCTTCATCGATCTTTATATATGCATATATCTTTTATCTCTATGTGGTGCTCGTCAACATCTGCCTCTCATCTGTGATGTCATTTGACCTCTATGCCCCTGACTCGATCTTCCCCCCCTCTACCTTCTGATATAATCGTCCAACGGGTTCGACGTCCAACGGGTTGATGGGTTCATCCAACCGGTTCGGGTCCAATGGGTGAATGGGCTCCTTGGACGGGTTTGACGTCCAACGGGTTGGGTCCAGCCTGTTCGACTTCCTCATCCAACGGGTTCGACATCCAACGGGTTTGGGTCCAGCGTGTTCGACTTCCAACGGGTTAATGCGCTCCTTGGACGGGTTCGACATCCAACGGGTTAATGCGCTCCTGGGACGGGTTTGACGTCCAACTGGTTGATGGGTTCATCCAACGGGTTTGGGTCCACCGTGATCGACTTCCATCGGGTTAATGCGCTCCTGGGACGGGTTGACGTCCAACG